AGATCTATGAGAAGAAATTACTTAGAAAATGAGCAGCTTCATGTCTGGCAATTCTATCTTGATAATCAGGGAAAAATGTCGAGAATCCACCTATTGCAGCCTGAAGAAGCCTACATCATAGGTGAACCAATGAGATAGATCCAGAGTGTTCATTATATATGATAAGAGATTGAAGAAATGAGCTATATAGTAACAGATACATAAAGGGTATAATCGTCCATTATATATATATATATATATATATATATATATATATTATATATATTCATGTTATAGTTACCCAGGTGAGATACTCCCTACAGCCAGAACCACCAAAGAGATGCTCCCAATCAGATATGGTACAAAGAAGCCCCAGTCCTGCATTATTTTTGAACCACAGTTACAAAGTCAAACCACTTTAAAAATAGACAAAAATGAGAAAACAAGTTCTATCATGTGTTATAATTATTATTCCAATGACATGGGCTACATAAAGCTTTTGGCATTTTGTTGATGGTGTATATATGATAATGAAATAAATAAGCTCACCCCAGGAAGCTGACCAGCAAGAACTCCCAAGAACCCTGTAGTTCCCACCACAGTGAAAAGAAAAGCAGCCTGCATCACTGTCATGAAATTAATTTCATGAAACATAAATATATCATATCATAAAGTTAAGATTTATGTGAAAAGATGAGTATCTCTGGCATCATTGAGCTTTTAACTCAAATCATGGTAGTTAATTAATTAAACACGTTCATGAGAACTTACATCATTTCTAACACTAGGTATTGCAAGGTTCTCCGCGTTTTTCAATCCAAGAATTGTCAACTCACGCAGAGATGTCTGTTAAAGAAAAAAAAAAATCCAGCAGTTTTGTTAAATGATATTAGGCTTAGGGGATGTTTGATATGCCTCTTACCACTATATCAGATATGACTCCATCTGAAATAACTATCAAAAAACCCTAGCTAGGTTTATCATATAGAAAAAAAGGGGATACATGTAGTCAGTAAAGACTTACGGGGCGACGGGATACATAGGGTTGAGAACCCCACTTTTTGGCCCAACCAATTTCAGAGAGCTGACTGAGTGCTTCTTTAACGCCATCACTATCCTTCTGCACCAAATGCAAATGCAAATTGAATTACATCAAATCAAATGCAGGATACTAAACAAATTGAAAAAATCTAAACCCAAATAAAACTGATTGGGTGATTGTTCTCTCCGAAAAACAATATCTATATAGGAAGCATGCAGATGTTAATTGGTGGTTGTCAAATAACATTTCAGTATCACCCTAACTACATTCACTACTCAGTGTTTGATGCTTAAGTAACAAACTAGTGTAATAATTACAGGCTTCGATTGCATCTATAGTTCTATACAAGTTCAGTAATGCCGGATCGAAGGGTTATTTTGAAATGGAACCCCCTGAAATTGGGTTTTTTTTATATGATTCGAATACGAGTATAAAAGTTATCATGGTAATTCTATGGGACGTTGAATGAAAGCATCATGTTTAATTTCTTAATTTTGGAAGACAGGTCGAAGAATAAAATACCTTGGCGATGGCGGATTCGAGAGAGGTGAAGTCGACGTTGGGGGGAGCAGCTGAGGAAGATCTGATTCCCCAATTTCTAGAATGTGTAGATCGAGCAAGAGAACCGAAGAGCGACACAGATATGGAAGACATTGAGAGAGAGAGAGAGAGAGAGAGAGAGAGAGAGAGAGAGAGACCCTTGTTTAGTTGGTACGATAACCGATAAGGTTTGGCGGGAGTGGCTTCAAAGTGACCATCAAACCGTTATCAACATAAAGTGTTTGAGACATTTTACTTTGAGGATGCATTTCGTTTTATTCATTCTGTGCAAATTGATCATATGCTTTGCTTAATTTTATATTATATTTTAATTTTGTCAAAAGCATTATTTATGTTTTATGAATTTTCTAAATAGTCAATATATTATATTTTCTTAAATTTTAATTACTTTAGTGAAAAGTTTTACACTAAGTATTCCACTACGTCATTATATTTTGGTTTAAACATTCATTAAATAAATTGTATCATTTATTTTAATAAATAAAGGTTTTTTTTATCACATGTCATGCTATTATTTAGGGCGTGTTTGGTAAAAGTAGTTGTTAGCTGAAAACATGTAGCGAATAACTGGTAGCGAAAAACTGTAACATTTAGGGTGTGTTTGGCAAAAGTAGTTGTTAGCTGGAAACGGGTAGCGGTTAACTGGTAACGTGTAACTGGTAGCTGGTAGCGGGAAGCTGTAGCTTTTATTTGTTATATGAATGTTTGGCAAAAGTACCTGGAAGCTTTTGAAATACATAAAATTATATAAAATGACAATTGATTAAAAATAGAAAAAAATATATAAATATATTTTTAAAGGTAATTATGGAAATTGGTTTCAAAAGCTCCGGAGCGTTTTGTTAAAAGCTACATGAAGTAGCTTTTAGAATCGGAACGTTTTGTTAAAACTAAAAGCTAAACACTCGTACTGTAAAATGAAGTTTTTTGTTTAAACTAGAGCGTTTTGTCAAAAGCTAAAAGCTAGAAGCTCCCAAACGCTTCCAAAAGCTCCGTGCCAAACACGTTATAATTTTTGTCTAAACTTAAAAACTAGATGCTCACAAACGCTATATGAAGTAATTTTTAAATTTGGAGCGTTTTGTTTAAACTAAAATTTAAACGTTCGTACTACCAAACAAAGTTTTTTGTTTAAACTAAAACATTTTTGTCTAAACTTAAAAACTAGATGCTAACAAACGCTTCTAAAAGCTCAGTGGCAAACATGCCATTAATTTATCAAATGTCATTTTGTGGTTATTTTGAATTAATTTCTTTTACACATGTTATTTTATAGGTTTTTCTATTTTAATAAATTCTGCATAATACTTTAATGTAATGATTATAATAAATATAGTAACAAACAAATATCAATTTCATTAATGGATCTACCTTCTTATTCTAAAATTTTCAAATTAAAGTCCATTAGTTTATTTTATTTATTTATTTAAATTTAAAAGATAAAAAATCAATTTTAATAGTTTATTATTTTTTTATTTTTTATAAATCCAAAGTTTTTAAATATTTAGACCTTCATAATTATTTATTTTTAATTAACTCATATAATACATGGGTCTTACACCTAATTAATAACTATATTATATTTAAAATATTTTCTTGGAATATTGTGATTTTTTCCTTAAAAAAATATTACCCCATTCTTTTATTAATAGGCGTGTTCGAAAAAATTAGCTGATACCGGGTGGCTTGTAGCGGGTAGCGGGTAGCTTGTAGCGTTTTGTTGAACGCTACATGAAGTAACATTTGGATTTTGAGCGTTTTGTTTTAAACTAAACGCTAAAAGCTTGTAGTGTCGAACGAGACATTCTGTTCAAAACGAAACATTTTGTTAAACGCTAGAATCTCTCAAACGCTCCGTACCGAACACGCTCAATAACTAGTTAACCTTAAAATCAAGAAAACTAATTAGGTATTTGAATAATGTTAAGATGCATTTCTTCTTGTGAAATAAATGGTTTAAGTTAAACTTATTATCAATGAGTGTATGTTAAAATTTACAAAGAATAAAAGCCATCTCCAACATTTTTGGATGAAAAGAAGATAGATGACTAAAGACATTAACTAATCTTTTAAGGGTAAAATCAAATATTTATTTCACTTAAAATTTATTATATTCAATTTGAGATATTTAATTATTATATAATAAACTTTTGATGGCTTAACTAAGTAAGACTTGATAAATATCTTCTAATGACACAAGTTTAAATCTAGGATGATTTAACTATTCAATCAAGAATAATTAGGGAAATGATTATCTATAGATACAAGAGTGGATATTGCTTCATCCATATAAATTTAAGAATACATATTATATATATATATATATATATATATATATATATATATATATATATATATATATATATATATTGTGAAATAAAAGAAATTAAAGTTGTGATATGACCTACTTATTCAAAACTTGAAATTTAGTAGAACGGAATATATTGTTGCATATAGTGTTCTAAAAGGTGTGTCATGGCGTGAGACGTGCCTTTGCCGTTACGAAAAGTCTCGTAACATTGCTGTTAGGCGTGGCGTGTGGCAAGGCATGATATGACGCGTCATGGCTTGTTATGGCGTGTGTTTTTTCGTTTGAGACACGGTTTTTTTGCTTTTTGTTATGTCTTTTCTAATCGGAGATACAATTGTGGTTTTTGTTAACTTTTTGTTACTAATTATTGATCTAATATAATTTTAATTTAATACAAAATCGTCGCCTTACATCACGTCTTGAAAAACGTCATGACTCGTTAAATTTGAGATTTGGCCTTGCCGTAATGTCATGTCTCACGCCATTTAGAACCTTGGTTGCATATGTCGATTAGGCTTCTTATACAACTTAAATAAACAATTAAATTTAAAATAAATATATAGTTATATTTTGTTTTCGTTAGAAGAATTTTGTCATTTCTTCAAATTTTGTAAATTATTTAACCAATAATAAAACAAAATATTGGTTAGGCCAAAAGGTGCGATACAATATCCAAAGAGAAATTAATTATTCTCTTAGTTATAACCTAGCAAATCGGAGATGCGTGATACAATATCCAAAGAGAAATTAAATATTCTCTTAGTTATAACCTTGCAAATCGGGGATGCCGCATTGTAAGGTCAAACAACCCATTATTTAATTGATATAAAATATATAAAAATAAGATGCCCACTAATAACAAAACCAAATTTAAAAAACAAAATTAATTTAGTAAAAACAAGCAATGGTCAATGTATATAAAATCATGTCACGTTTAAAAATATTTACAATAGGATTGGATCACGTTAAAAGGATTTACTCAAAATGTTGCCTTAAAATCATATCATGTTTTAATTGCACATTACCCTATTTCTAGATCTTTTACAAAACATCCGATCAACATGAAGAAACAAGTAACTGAACGCATCTGAGGCCACTTGAACACCAATGACCGACCAAACTAACTCCGGTAACCCACCACCGGACGCCTCCTCCTCGCTCCCACCTCAACCACCACTGCTGATACCAAACCTACCAGATGACGTCGCACTCCAATGCATCGCTAGAGTTCCACGGTCCTACCACCGCTCCCTCTTACTAGTCTCCAAGTTATGGCGATCCACCATACGCTCCCCACACTTCTTCGCCACCCGTTCCCTCATCCGTTCGACACAACAGTCCCTCTACCTCAACATCCGCCACAACTCTTCTTTCAAGTGGTATTATCACCCAAACCCTAACCCTACCGATAAAGGCATCTTATATCCTCTCCCGCCCATCCCAACTCAACCCGTCGGTTCTGCATATGCCGTACTCGGCCACAAAATATACCTAATCGGCGGTTCGATTAACGATATTCCTTCGACATCTGTTTGGGTTCTCGATTGTAGGGTTAATAAATGGGAAATTGGGCCTAAAATGAGAGTTGGGAGAGAGTTTGCAGCTGCAGCGACGGTAAATGAGAAGATATATGTGATGGGTGGATGTTTGGTGGATAATCGGACTCGGTCGATTAATTGGGCGGAGGTTTACGATCCGGCGGTGGGGGTGTGGTGCCCGCTACCTAGCAGTTCGGTTGAGGCAAAGGACAAATGGATGCATGCTAATGCTGTTATAGATGGTAAGATTTATGCGATGGCAGACAGGGGCGGAGTGGTTTATGATGTGGCGGAGATGGAGTGGGGGAGAGTTCCGAAGAGGCTCGACATGGGATGGAGGGGGCGAGCTGCAGTTGTAGATGGGGTTTTGTATTGCTACGATTATTTGGGGAAAATCAGAGGGTATGATGTTGAGAAGGATGCTTGGAAGGAGTTAAGAGGGGTGGAGAAAGGGTTACCGAAGTTTTTATGTGGTGCAACAATGGTGGATTTGGATGGGAGGTTGTGTGTTGTGTGGGAATGCAAAGAGGGTGGTGGTGGTGAGAAAGCAATTATGTGTGCAGAGATTGAAGTTTATACGGATGAAGATGGAGGATTAAGCGGTTCGATCTTGTGGGTTGATGTGGTTCTTTCTGTTCCTGTTGGTTCTTCAATTCTTCATTGCATGGCTGTTTCTCTGTGAGTTGTGAGTTGTGACTTCCATTATATTACCAGAGTATGTTCTTTCTCTTTATAAACCTACCAAATTATAACATTATACTCTCAAATATATTTCTTATTTGGGTGAAATATCTACCCAATAATTTTTTGTAGATGAAATGAAAATAGGATGCTATAATAAGCAAATATATGAAAGTTGGTTATTAATATTGCATTTATCCCAGAAAGATATTATGAACACCTTCTTTTTGCAGGATCTTGAACTATTCCCCTTGCAAAAGGAATGATCTAGATATGGTTCTTATCCTCAAGGTATACATACAGATCTTTGGGGAATTAAGAGCTGAAGCAGTATTGTTGATTGTTAAAAAAATGTGAATGTATATCATCTTGTCTTGATTACAAATAAAAAGCCTTTTGTTGAAATGTTGCAAAGGCTACTTGTATTTCTTACATTTGGTTTGTTGTACATATTTTGTGAACTTCTACTTCAAGTGTGATGAGCCCTCAATCCTCATTCATCTTGACATTGCTCAAATTTATATTCAAATGGTTTAAACTTAAATCACCATTTTTAAGGGTTGTGGAAGTGTGAAATTGCATGAAAAAACACTGAATAGTGGAATATTTTCGAAGTCAGTTTGTTAACGTACTTGTAATTGTTCATTGTAAGTGTACATTTTACAAATTTATAGTTTTTCATCAACATGTATTGAAAATAAACTTTAGAGAACAAAGTATACACATACTACAAGATACATAATTTGTAATGGTTCATTTCACAACGTCAAATCGTAATCGGATGAACAAATGTGATGTGGAATCAAAGTGATTAAGTTTACAATATTGGAGGAAATGGTTTTGATTCTGATTTTTCCAAATTCAAATAATCAGGTGAAGTAAAATTAAAATTTAAGTTTAAGAATCTATCCATTCTATTCTAATAAATGAAGATTTTTTTTAGCGCATATCATATTCTCAATTAATTTATCAAATGTGGTTATTTTGATTTAATTTCTTTTTTACATGCCATTTTATGGGTTTTTTCTATTTTAATAAATTTTACATAATATTTAATATAACAATTACAATTAATATAGTAATAAATGAATATTAATTTAATTAGAAGATTTACCTTTTTATTTCAAAAGTCTCAAATTAAAATTTATTAGTTTATTTTGTTTATTTATTAAATTTAAAAGATTAAAAAAAATCAATTTTAATAATTCATTATTTTTTTTTTATTTTTTTATAAATCCAAAGTTCTTAAATATTTAGATCTTTATATTTATTGATTTTTTAATTTAACACATGTAATACATAGGTCTTACGTATGATATTTATAAAGTTATTGAACTTGTAGCATCAGTTAAATAGTTTATTTGAATTTTTTACACATAATATTTATAAAGTTATTGGATTTGTAACATCAGTTAAATAGTTTATTTGAATTTTCAGTTTCCAGCGAAGTTTGGTTTTGATTCCTAATTTAATTATTAAAGTTAAAAGTAACAAGAGATGATTTAAATTTAAATTTAAATAAACGTTTTATTCAAAATAATATATATCAAATTGATTGATTTTCTTTATATATAACAAGTTCTACACCTTTAAGAGTTTAAGGAAGAGCACCTTTTGTGAAACTTTTGAAGTTTAATTTTTTTCTCATCAATTTTTAGATTTCTATCACAAATTAAAACTTTTAGATTTCTATCACAGATTCACGTTTAGAAGCTGATAGGTATAATCAGAAATTTGAAAGCTGAATACGAAAGATTTTAGTTTTTATTTATATAAAAATATTAGTAAAAAATAACTATAAATTTTTGAAATTTATAAAAAATTACAAAGACAAAACTTCAAAAATGGTCCCACTTGGTTTCCGAAAATATCAAATTTAGTCCCTAAGTTCAAAAAACCTCATAGATAGTCCCTGTGATTTCAAAACTTTTAACAAATGGTCATTCCGCCTAACTCCGTCAGTTTTCTACCGTTAAGTGAGAGACATTTTCGTCATTTCAATACACATGGACCATTTATGAAGCTATTTAAAAAAAAGAAAAAAAAATATAATTATTTAATTAAAGGGCCATCTCTCTCTCTCTCTCTCTCTCTCTCTCTCTCTCTCTCTCTCTCAATTTAGTGACCCCAGAGTCGATTGAGAAGGAAATCCCATGGTATTTTTCCTAATTTCACTTCACAAACGACTTCCCACCTCTAGTTTCGATGTTTATAATTTCCAATTTCATGTAATAGGTATGGAATCCAACATGAATACACCTTGTTGCAGAAAGGTATATTATGGTCGTTAGTTGGCCCTAAGGCAGCTTACCAAGACCTTAGGTAACCTCCAGTAGCCTCAAATCTGTATATTTTTCTCACAATTTTGTCTAAAATTTAAACGAGTTTCTTCCATTTGTCGGAGAAGAGATTTGAGCTGCTCGGAGCTTAGGATTACACCGAGTTTGCATAGATTAGTCATGAGGTTGTTGACCTTCAGGTTTTGGTTATGTCTTCCAAGCAAGTTTGTGCAATGACTGCTGGTTTCTTTCATCGATGTTGTGTGGTGGAATTGAAATTCCTAAATTGGAATTGAATAAGATGAGATCACACCTGGGTTTTGTATATGAGTCGTTGTAGAACCCTTGTGATGCCTCTAATGGCGTTACATGAACCAGAAATTGGATATCTGACTGCAATTTGGGGAGCTCCTTCCGATATAGGGGTGATATTAGGTTTTGCTCTGAAATATATTAAACCTTTTCAGAAGGTGAAAAGACATTTAGGGAGGGGAAGGGTGGTCGGGGCTCTTTGAGTTCACTGAGATGATCTTGTAGAATGGAGACTCAAATTCGATGTTACAAAAGAACGAGGAGTTAGAGAGTGAGGTTCCCACAAGTGGGCATAAAGATATGGTGAGACAGTGAATGGTATGGGTGGTGCGCTTAAGGCGAGGTATGGTGGTGAACATGATTTTGGCAAAAGAAGAAGACTAGTGTATGGTTATATGGTTGATGGTTTTGGAGAAGATGGAGAATGGTGTTGTAGTTGAATTAATGGCGGTGCGATTTCTAGGAACTTACAGACACTAAACCAAAAATCAAAGAAAGAGAGAGAGAGAGAGAGAGAGAGAGAGAGAGAGAGAGAGATAGAGTGCCTTTAATTAAATAATTATATATATATATATATATATATATATATATATATATATATATATTGTAAGTAGAGAAAACCTCATAAATAGTCTATGTGTATTGAAATAACGAAAATGCCCCTCACTTAACGGTAGAAAGCTGACGGAGTTAGGCGGAATGACCATTTGTTAAAAGTTTTGAAACCATAGGGACCATCTGTGAGGTTTTTTGAACTTAGAGACTAAACTTGATAGTTTCAAAAACCACAGAGACCATTTTTGAAGTTTTGTCACTTACAAATAATCAAAATGAAGTTGTTTTGAAATTATGGGTTGTTTTTTCAAATAAAAGTTAAAAATTTGTAATCTCTAGTTTTCTATTTAATTGATGGGTTTCTTTATTATTATTATTATTATTATTTATTATTATTATTATTATTATTATTATTATTATTATTATTATTTTTTAACTATCAAAAACATACATAAACTTTTTTCTTAATGAATTTTAAATTAACTATATATTAAAATTCATACCGGCTTGTTAAAAGTATATGTTTCAAGCTGGCTTGGGGTGTAGCTGTCGGCTTGCTTTGAAGCTGTGTAATTTTATCCATTGTAGTTTTCCGTTCTTCGATCAATAGTTCCACTGCTTCGATTTGGTTTGCTTCTCAACACCAACGACTAAAAAACTTCACCAACTTTTCAATAACCTCTCCATCAAACCTACACAAAAAGGCTTTTGCCGGTTTCCCTCCTCAATGTCCACCGCCTTCAAAAAACAATGTTGGTGAATGTTTTCACCATAATTTACACTCTTGTACTTTGGAAAATGATTTTTCTCACATTCTATTTTTTAAAATGTCATTTTGACCCTTTGGACTTTTACCATTTACAACTCGAATCGCTTTACTTAGTAAGATAACATTTTCTTTGCGTCCTTAACTTTGGAAAATAAGTTTTTTAGGGTGCGTTTAGTTGCGGAAAAATGGGTTGTTTTCCGGAAAATTTTTTCAAGAAAAATGAGAATTTTGAAAACGCGTTTAGTTCATCTATTTTTCTAAATTTTTCACGGAAAATGAAAATTTTCCGTTTTCTAAAATTACAAAGAAGTTGGAAATTTTTGGAAAACTGATAATCATTGTTTTCCACATTTTTCTAATTCCAAAATTTTTCTATAAACACACACCCACTCCACCCCATCCACCTCTACCTACCCCCATCTTAACACCCCCACCCCCCACACACATATACATACCCACCCGCCACACACACCCACACCCACACACCAACCCACAAACACACACACACATACATACCAACTCACACACACACACACACACCAACCCCAACACATACACATACATACCCACCCACCCATAAACATACACATACATACCCACCCACACACTCACACACACCCGTACACACACATACATACTCACTCACACACACACACACACCCACAAACACACACATACATACCCCTCCACACACACACCCACAAATACATACATACCCACCCACCCACCCACAAACACACACACATACACACATACGCACCCACCTGCACATACACACCAACACACACACACATACATATCCACCCACACACACATAAACCCACACCTACCCCCACCCCTACCCTCACAGACACACACACCCACACACACACAAACCTACACCTACCCCTATAAACACACACTCGCACCCCCACTCACCCAACACCACCACGACAATCACCGACCTACCATCACCACTAACCTGTCACTAGCACCACCATCATCACCACCACTGACACAATTGCCGCCGCCACCACCATCGCATGTCATCACCACCACCGTCGCGGACCCGTTACTGTCACCGCCTCCATCCATACCCTACCACCGCTACCGTTTTCTAAAAATGAAAACCGATAGAAAAATACACATCTAAACACGTTTTCTAATTTTCTAAAATTGAAAATGAAAAATAAATAAGTTTAACTAAACGTGTTTTCTAAATTTTTCAATGAAAAATGAAAACGGCAAACGAAAATCGAAAAGGGAAAACAAAAAACGGAAAATGAAAAGTGTTTTTCCGTAACTAAACACAACCTTAATCTCTCTACCTTTTAAAATATTATTTTGACACCCTCGACTTTTACTATCTATAAATTGCATCCATAACTTTAGTTTGTGACTAATTTATTACCTATTTAGTTTTATCTATCTGTCGGTATAAATTTGATATAATCATAGTTGTCAAAATCGTGATCCTAATCGTAAAATTGGACGATCCTAGGTATGAAAAACGATCTGGATCGTAAATAGATCGTATTTAGGCTAGGATCGCAGGTAGGATCGTAAGATCGGGATCTGATCCAATCCTACTTTCCCTAAAAAAAAAATTGCTTGCAAATGAAACTTTTTTTTTACCACTTTATGTCCTTCACCATTTACCAATTTACCATTTATCATTTTGTGTTGTGACTTATGACTAATATTTTTAAGTTTTTATAACTTTTGAAAGAAAAATTAAATGTTTGAAATATTTTTCATGTTTAATCATTATAAATTAAAATTATGTTTTATTTTGAGGCATCTTAGGATCCCGATTCCGATATTGCAAACATAAAAACAATCTTACGTAGATCCCGATTTTGACAATCTTGGATATAGTTAATGTTTCGACGTAAATTTAAAACTTTATTTGGTTATTAAATTATTTATATACAAATTTGCATGAGTTCAAATTTATTTACATTTCAACTACAAAAACATAAATCACCTTTTATTACATAACAACTTTTTTTTCTACTGTTTTTTTTTTTTTTTTTTTTTGATCAATTTACGCCTCTCTAACGTGTCGAGGGTAAAATGCTAGTTAAATTGTTAAAATAAAATATGATGTTGGTTTGAATTAAAATAAAATTAGTGAGGAAAAAAAAATAGGGTTTTTAGGGGCTGCTGACCTGCGACTCCATTTACTCTAGAACCCTCTTTCCTTCGTCTATCGATACCAGTTAAGCTCATACATTCGAAGACGACATCAAAGCAGTACTTTCTTTACTTCAGCAATGGCGACCGTCATGCAAAAAATCAAAGATATCGAAGATGAGGTATTACCCATGTTCCATTTATATACTTTCGTCTTTCCATCTATACACGTACCTCGTATACCGGATAAACAATAGTTCACGAACCCTAGAAACATCGCTATGTCTTCGCAACATCATAATTAATTTAATTAATCGAGTTTGAGTACACGATTTTGTTTTAGTTCACTCGGGTATTATAAATCGATGTGATCTATTCGCAGTTATTTCAAAATCACTGCTCTGGTTAATCTTGATTCCTTAGATTCAGTATGAAGCTACAATACGAGTTACGACGTGACACAGTTTACGTTTTAACTTCGAAGTAAGTTGTCTTGGATGAAAAAAAAATTTAGATGCGGCACTTTAGAACAAATTTCCTATCTGCGGCAATGGAAACACAATTTTGATGGCCAGTTTAGTGCCAGGGGAGCTGCTTGTGTCCATAGATTTTAAAATCTGTTTAGAGAATTTGCACATGAGAAGTAAAGGTTTAATGATCTCAAGAACTTAATGGTGTTGATGTTACATGAGCTAATTTCAGCTGCACATTTGATATGTTTTGGACACTTTGGGAAGATATTTGGTGAATGTATGCTGAATTCAAGGCTCTGAAAAGCATAAATGTATTGCTCTACCTTGCTTGTTAAGTGTGCACCTGTGAATCTGTGATAGCCATACAAAATCTTTATGGGTATGAAGCTGTTAGCTGCATGCAGAATGTGCAGATTCATCTCTGATACATTGATAGAATTTCAGCTATTTTCATGTTGTATACCTAATAAAATGTAGCAGTTTTAGTCCTTATTCTCCAAGTTAGCATTTTTCTTATCCTTTCTCCTTTTATCCCATCTCTACATTTGGCATCCAGCATGTGAATTGTACTTAGTTTTGGTACTTATGGTAATTATAGTGTGCTAAATGTAACTGAGTCACTGAATGCATTATTTTTTTCTCCTTTTTAGATGGCAAAGACCCAAAAGAATAAAGCAACAGCACATCATTTGGGCTTGTTGAAGGTAAATATGAGTAGGTTGCTTAATTGTTAATTCCTTTAACAGAAAGTAAAAGAGTTGAGTTTGAGTTAATTGCTTGTGATATTAGGCTAAGCTTGCAAAATTGAGAAGGGAGCTTCTAACACCTACAACAAAGGGAGGTGGTGGAGCTGGTGAAGGTTTTGATGTTACAAAAAGTGGAGATGCAAGGGTTGGTCTTGTGGGTTTTCCTTCTGTTGGAAAATCAACCCTTTTAAATAAGTTAACTGGGACTTTTTCAGAGGTATATACTACATAATAACTCTTTAATCATCATAATTAAATTGTCTAAAGTTTAATGGACATTGTATTATGTTTGTTGACTTTGTTCACAGGTTGCTTCATATGAGTTTACCACTCTCACATGCATTCCAGGTGTTATTACATATCGAGGAGCTAAAATTCAGGTATAATTCCAAATCCTTCAATCTTTTTTTCTTTTTTGAAATGTTTATATTGTTTTATAGTATTTATCTGTTGGCAGTTGTTGGATCTTCCTGGTATTATTGAAGGTGCTAAGGATGGAAAGGGTAGAGGAAGGCAGGTAATCTTTCAATAGTTGCTCTTATCTGATTAAAAAAAGTTTCCTTTTTTGTTATTGATTTATTAATTTTGTTTAACTTAAATAAAAATACATTCTTGTTGTGTAGGTTATCAGCACTGCAAGGACATGCAACTGTATTCTGATTGTGCTGGATGCAATTAAGCCAATAACCCACAAACGTCTCATTGAAAAAGAGCTTGAAGGATTTGGCATTAGGTAAACCATAATTTTCCAAAAAAAAAAAAAAAAACACACCTTATTTACTGTTTCTTATTATATATAATCATTTTATTACAGGTTAAATAAAGAGCCCCCAAATCTAACATTCAGGAAAAAAGAAAAGGGTGGCATTAATTTCACATCAACAGTTGCTAACACACATCTAGACCTTGAAACAGTAAAGGCAATATGTAGTGAATACAAAATACATAATGCTGATGTCACCCTTAGGTTTGATGCAACAGCTGATGACCTCATCGATGTGATCGAAGGTAGTAGAATATACACTCCTTGCATCTATGTTGTCAACAAAATAGATCAAATCACACTTGAAGAGCTTCAGATCTTGGATAAACTTCCTCACTATTGTCCTGTTAGGTAACATACTTTTATTTATTATTATTATTATTCTTTTTATTTTTATTTATTTTGAACCATGGTATTTGTTTTGTAGTGCTCATTTGGAATGGAATCTTGATGGTTTGCTTGAGATGATATGGGAGTATCTGAGTTTGACCCGTATTTATACAAAACCCAAAGGAATGAATCCGGATTATGAAGACCCTGTGATTCTTTCTTCTAAAAGAAAAACTGTTGAGGATTTTTGCTTCAGGATTCATAAGGACATGCTTAAGCAGTTTAAGTAGTAAGTCACCTCATCTCATGTCACCTAATACTTTAACTATATATTTTATGTGTGTTTTTTTTTTTTTTTATTGATTAATTTATTTTATTCTCTTTAATGCAGTGCACTGGTGTGGGGTTCTAGTGCAAAACACAAGCCACAAAGGGTTGGGAAGGAACATGAGCTTGAAGATGAAGATGTTGTGCAGATCATTAAGAAAGTGTGAGTTTAAATTATTTAAAAAAAAAAAAAAAAAAAGAAGAAAACAAACTAAATTTTGTTTTTGATAACTATTTGCGTGTGTTTGTGTACTTTGTATCGTTTGTGCCTTGTGGTGCAATATGGAATAGATAAGTGATTTGAGTATTGAGATTTTGTATCGTACATTCTTCTTTATTTTGGTCCATGTTAATTAATTTTATCATTATTTGATATATAAATTAAGTCGCACTCATATTAACACAAAGTTTGTTAAGCTTTCTGGTGGTGATGGTTGAGCCAGAATGTTTTGTCGTTCGGTATTATTAAGTATATGTCTGTATGGTTTGTCTCTTATCCCACTAATCCACTAATAAATATATCGTGGTCCAAGTTGATCAAAGTCGTAAGGAGGGTATGTATGTCATATACTCATTGTCATGTCGATTTATAACTCGTCAAAATCAGAAAGGTACGTCTTTGTAACTTGGTGTAAAAGAAACAAGCAATATATAAAAAGAATCAAATTATTGACCATTAAAAAATTAAGCTCTAGAGCGTGTTCCTTATTTTTATATTATGTTTTGTTTAAAGTTTTTTGTCGTCAATAAATCAAACGAGCACACTACAGGTATGTCATGGACTCATGTCGGTCTAAGACGCAGAATCCTTTTTGTGCATATACATGTTCAAAAAGTGTGGACATGCACATTCATACTTTCAAAAAACGACTTTTTTTTTTTTGAAAGTTTTGGTTTACAACACATAGATGAGATGAAGAAATGAGAGGTGTTAAGAGATATAACTTATGAAAACATTAAAGACCATAAAAATCGATCCAACCACCGGTTCAATCCAACCTGAACCCAATCTAATATTAACATGTTGGTCCCCATTTAAATAAAATGGGTCAATCCGTCTAACTTTTTTATTAAATAGGTTGGATTGTATAAAAGTTATCAACATGTTTTCAACCTACAATACCATTTAATTTTAAAAATTATTTAAATATTATGTATTACTCTAAGTATTAATTTATAAATTATAATATTGTGTTATTACTCATGTTTAAAAAAAATGCAATTTAATTCCTATCTTTTTTCAGTGTCGAAAACATTAGCCACCTTCTAAAATCACTTCGAAATTAATTATTTTTATTGTTATTTGAACATTTATTTGTATTTGTGAACTGTGATTGTGTTTTTGACATATTTTGAAATTTTATTTAAGTTTGGAACTAATTTAAATGGTGTGAACTTTAGTTAATTTATTTACTTTTTTTTTTTAAATGGGTTAACCTAAGTTTAACCCATTTTTTAAATGGTTGCGTTGAGAAATACATAAGCAGGTAGTGGTAACTTATTCATTTGAAAGGTTGGGTTTGGTTGAAAATATCAACCCATTTAAACAAATAGGTTGGGTTGGGTTGAAATCTTCCACCCAATTAGTAAATAGGTTGAATCCGAACCCAACACATATCGATCTATTGTCAGCTGTATAAAAAATAGTAACAAATTGAAAAAAAAGTATTTGCGGTCGATTCCGTTTTAAGTATTTCTTACAACTAAGCCATATAATATGGCTTCTTTACTTGTATCCTAAGCTTGATATGAATTCATTATGTGTTTCTGTTTTAATAAAATGATTCATATTATAAGAATTTATGATGTAACTATAAACAACTGAATTTTTTAATTATATTAAAGTAAAACATTAAGTTAAATAATTATTAGAAAGAAAAGAAGTTTTATATTGTATAAATCACCTAAAAATGAGGTTTCCAGTGAAATATGGAATTGAGGTTTCCAGTGAAATATATGATATGACGGGCCAATAACTAACAACATGTAGTGTATGGTACCTAATTTATCTTCGTTAAAATGTAAGGGTGTGAAAAACTCGGTTGGCAAAAATCAAAAAACCTAACTGAAACTAGACAAATTGCAAAAAATGTCTACGTGGTTTCTTTTTATGTGGTTAATGTTCAAAAGTTTAGAAAGTTGTAGATTTGATTATTTTCAACAAGTTTTGTTGTATTTTGGTTCTTCTTCCGTTAAATTTAACAAGTTGACTGTTAAATTCATTAAAATAACTATTTTATCCTCAGGAACCATTTTCGTTGTTTTATCTTTACTATATTGTAAGGACCATTTTTTCATATATATATTTTTTATTTTATTGAAGTATTATATATTAATAAATATTATTTTATTGGATTACTAATTTATTTTATTTATTTATTTATTTTGTTTGATTATTTTTTTTCATAATAAATATTTTATTATTGGATTATTAATTTCTTTTAGTTAATTTTTGTAATTTCTTTTTTAAAATTATTTTTTATTATATTATTATTTTTAATTTATTATTTTCTTCATATACTAAATATTATTTTTATTGGATTACTAATTTATTTTTAATGTATAATATTAGTTCTTGTTAATTTTATTGGCTCCACTACAAAGTCTTGGGATACGTAAAATCACCGTATCTCATCATAGAAATCGTGAGGATCATTTCCAAACACCTTCATTGTAGGTAGCTTATCATTAGAAATCATAGGGAAAGCATCACCACTATCACCCGGTCACCACCACCACCACCACCACTTATAATTTTACAAAGGTTTGTTGCACATTATGCGTGACATGAATGATTCTAGTTTATTATGAATAGGTTGTTGCAGGTGGCTACCAACGATGTTGAGTGGAACAAGACAAGGTTTTTGTTGAACCTCTGATGAAGGTGTTTGGTGGTGATCCTGCCGATTTTTGACGATGAGAAGCGACGTTTTTGCGTCTTTCGGCGACTCTCTGGTGAAACTAATAAAACTAAAAAGAATTGATAGTATACATTAAAAATAAAATAATAATCCAACAAAATAATATTATTATATGAAAAAAAATTACAAGTAATAGTTCAATATATTAATATTTAAAAGAAAACAAAAAAGGAATCACAAAAAATAACTAAAAAAAACTTATAATCCAATAATATAATATTTATTATGATATAAATATTATATATTAAAAATAATATTTATTTATATATAATAATTCAATAAAAAAGAATAACTCCAATAAAAAAATTATAAAAAGAATCAATTAAAAGGAATAATCCAATAAAATAATATTTTATAATATATAATAATCCTATACAAATATATTTATTATGATATAAATATTATATTACGAAGTATATGTATTGATATATAATAATTTAATAAAAAGGAATTACTCCAACAAAAAAATTAAAAAGTCCTCCAACTTGATTAAGATTATTTATTCTAAATAATCTTTTGTCAAAAAGTCATTTTCGACCCCTATTATCTCTAAATTGACTAGCCCGGATGTACGGGCGTTACACTGTCTCAAAGTCTCGAATGTTGCCTGCTGCTCAGGCGCCCAACGAAAGACCACGTCTTTCTTCTCAAGATTCTAACACACACAAAATGGCACAAAGAGCTCAAGAACACTAAAAAATGGCTCTACTAAAGCTTAGAAAAGGTAGAAACTTTCCCTAACTATAGATCCAAGAGATAAATGGTCAAAGTTGAAGCTTTTTACCTCAAACAAGCCGGAAATGTGCCAAAACTTCTTGATCTACTTGCCTTCTCTTGATATCCCAAACCTCGTCTTTCTTCTTAAGTTTCTAACACAGACAAAATGGCACAAAGAGCTCAAGAACACTCAAAATCGATTAAGGTTACGTGAGGATTGTTTGAGGGTGTTGGAGGCTATAAACGAAGCCAATTAAGGTGTTTATATAGGGTGCAAACCCTTAAAATTAGGGTTTCATCCAGACAGGTCTACTCGTCAAATCGGGGCATCCGACTCGATGATTCGATCCTTCTACCCGCGTTCATGTTTCACCTCGACTCGACGAGTTTGGGCCTCAAACTCGCTGAGTCCCAGAGTAAAATGCAAAAATTCATATTTAAAATACATACTAGAAACCGGACGCTACACATAATATAATGACATGGAGTAAACAGATTAAAATTGCCCTTTATATATTGATTTAGGGCTTGGAGAAGAGAAAAACGAAGGACGTCTGTGTTCGATCTCTTGTAATAGATACTTCTTATTCTTCCTCTCAATCGTTGATGTCCAACTGAAGATCTATAAAGAAGATATTTGATGATGAAAACCCTTATGGATGTGGATGCCCTTCTTTGATTTGGACATCTAGAACGGAGGATCATCCAGAGAAAAAACTTCAAGGCTTGTTTGAACAGATGGGTAAGTGTAATACATTCTATCTATTTGTTTGGTTTCTTTCAAAAACAAAAACTTATTAAAATGGACATGATAAAGCTTTCAATTACGCTTACCCATCTTTTCAAACAAGTCCTAAACATTATATTTGGACGATCCTCCATTCTAAATGTCCAAATCTGAGAAGGGCGTCTACATCCACAAGAGTTTTCATCATCATATATCTTCTTTGTAGATCTTGAGTTGGACATTAACAATTGAGAGGAAGAAGAAGAAGTAGTAGTTATTACAAGAGATTGAACACAGACGTCGTTCGTTTTTCTCTTCTCTAAGCCCTAAATCGATATATAAAGGGTAATTCTAACATGTTTATTCCATGTCATTAAATATAATGTCATGTCATTTGCCAACTAGTTGTATATTTAATGAATCTGGTTGCCTCTAACGAGAATTGAACAAAAGCGTAAGTCCGTTAGGTTTTTTTCAACAAACAAAACATGATTGATGTTTTTTGAACAGTTTTGAAACTTCGTTGGTCTTACAAGTCATTTTCGATATTTAATTACACGTTATAAGTCATGTCATTCGTTGACTTTCATTAGCCGGTTGACCTTTAATGAGAAGTGTAAGTTAGTTGGGTTTTTTAAAACAAAATGTTAAGGTCGTTAGGTTTTCTTGAACAAACAAAACATAATTTGAGTTTTTTAAACGGTTTGAAAACTTCGTTGGGGAGATTAGTGTTGTAGTTGAGAAAAGAAGATGTGGTATGGGGAGTTAAGGTGGCCGAGGAGATAATTGGCTTCAGAGAGAATGTAAGGGTGGGTTTTCTAGAATTATTGAGAAAGAATGGCAGCGAAGAATGAATAG